GGTAACGATTTGTTTTTTTAAGAGAATATAAGGTTTATTGTGCTGTATTGTTCTTACTGTGTGTATATGAACTCTTGAAACGTGGAAGGAAAAAATCAGGGTGAATGGCATAAAACGAAGCTGGTGATATCTTTTAAGCTTCTTAATATGGAAGGTTGGTTAGGATATGAATCGCATTGCTACAGTAGTGGCTACAAAATCACGTATTCTGCCACTTAGAACATACCGTCATATTTCAGATAGGGTTCATTCTTTTCCTAGAGACTATCTATGGAGGCATGAGGCTTTGTACAATTTTACGGTTCTAGGTCGAACAGTTCAGTTCAGTGGAGACGCGGTCAAAGTGAAGATTTGGCAAAAATGTGGCAACTTTTCCATTTTCTCGCTACTCCTGCTTTTGGAAAACTATAGATAATATATGTCTATTTCCAATTAAAATTGTCCGAGGAAGTCAAACCGCCAAATTGCAGTATGATAATTCGCCTGAGGGATATTTCGGGCATAAGTATTTTCAAATTTTTTACTGGTTTATTGGGATGATAGTTGGAATGCTTTTCAAAACAGCAAATTCACCAAAGGCATTTTTGAGTTACTTGAACAATTTTACTTCGGAATTTCACGGTTCTAGGTCGAACAGCTCGGTCTGGAGACGCGCTCAAAGTGAAAATTCGGCAAAAATGTGAACTTCAGCGTTTTGGCAATTTTTCCATTTTCTTGCTACTCCTGCTTTTGGAAAACTTCAAGCATAATATATGTATATTTCCAAGTAAAATTGTCCAAGGAAGTCATCCGCCAAATTGCAACATAATTCGCTTGAGAGATATTTCGGGCAAGAGTGATTATTTAGTGTGACTAAGGGACGATTTCGCCAACATTATTATTATGGACCAATAAGAAAATACCTTATCGAAATGCAATTTGACGGAAGCTGTCAAAGGTCTCAGAATATCAGTGATTTCTATTAAAATGTTGGATAAAGTCGTGAAAATTCGACTGTATTATAAACAATACCATTTTTTGATTCCAACATGATGCTTTTGTATATGATATAGGTTTACATTTGACCATCCGTTATCCCCTCAGCGAATGGGAATGGGAGAAATAATAGGTCGATTTTCTAGCTGTTAAATTTGGCAGCAGGTTTGGTCGTTTGTTAATTCATGGCAATCTCAAAATTTGTTAAGTTCAATATACTGTGTGTATATGTGATCATTATAGCTACACATACCTGTTGAATTGTGCGGATTTGCAAGAAAATAGAATATAAAATGTATTCCAACCAATTCCTCATCTGTCTTTACATCATAATAATAATCATTTGTTATAAATTCATGGGTTAACGAATTTCTTTTAAGCAATCAAAACAGTATGTCGTCCCCATCCTAAAACACCGATATGTGTAAAACATGTTAATCCTTACATCTCCGAGGTGCATAATGCAATTACTGTAGACATAGACCTAAAATTATTAGTAATTACTGAAAAATAATGTCGCGTTCATGCACGACTTAACGTAACCGAATTTAAGGATCAGCTGTTTCTACACCAGTGTGCTAGTGATTTCCAGTGGTGGTCGAACATTTTGGTGACGTCACAGTCATTTTTTGACATGATTCGGGTGGTTTCGGAACTCGTCTTACCCTTGGATAGCCCTTTCTATACTGTTCTATGCTCGCATTGACGTAATTATAATAATTCTGTGGTGTCTCGTGTTCCACGACGATTTACGGTCAAAGTCAGGCGGTGAATCATCTATTGTTTTTGTTTGAGTTGTTGATGAATTTGCGGTAGAGATTTGTTTTGGTGTTCGTCTTCGGGTGTGTTTTTCTGCCTTGGACTTGTTTTTTGTGCGATTAATTGAGGATGGCCATGCCTAGAGCAAAAAAAAACGAGAGCCGCGCTGATATCAACTCCTGACCGTGGTGAAGAGGTACCTGCAGAAGGCACCTGAACGCAATCGGACATCGCCAGAGGAGCGCCTAATGATGACGTCGTGTACACGTTAAATCTGCACGAACGCCTAAATACGTGGTTATGTTGAATGTACCATCACCGATGGTGCGACTGATTATTCACTGAAATTAAAACAAAAAACTGCAACTGCAATTGTATGTATGAATGTTGAATCTGTTGAACAGTTTCGGACCAGTGGGGTTAAAATATCGTTGAGGAACTGGAAAGAAGTGTATGAATGTGTTGAAATGCAACACCTAACAAAAATTTGAGTGAAAAGGCTTTTTCATGTAAGGGTTTGGAAGTGCAAGTTTGCAAATATAGGATAAACTATAAGCACACAGTAGGTGATATAATCACATATGGGTTACAAAAGTTGCAGTAAACATGAAAAAACCTACAGCTAATCTGAAAAAATATATTTTACTCAGACATCAAGCATTTTTAAAAATGTTGGCTCAGTTTTACATAATTTTATAATATTTAATAAACTGAAAAGATTTCAATGGCAAGCTGTCACGTCATATTTTACAGTGTTTTGTTTTGAATACTTTGATGCTATTTGCTGCCAAAAATTTGACGGAGAGATCTTGAGGCTGATTGGGTATATTTAACGGACTGTTTGGTACTCGTACCCTATTGGTGCAGAATAATGGTTTGTTAAATTGTGAAATCCACCCTTAGTGATTTAATATATTGTCGGGCATGTTGCTTTTCAATGACAAGAGTAGCGAGAAAATAAGAAAGTTACCCCGATGCTAAAATTCACATTTTTGTGGAACCTTCAAAGTTTGAGCCGGACTCGAGACCAAGTTGTTTGACCTATGACCCTGAAAATGTCAGAGAAATAAATTATAAAATGAGCCAGATCTCAGATATGACCCGCCAAGCTATGTCATGCAATTTTAGTTTTGACACATTGGTTTTTTGTATCATCGGTCACAAACAATTTTCCCAGATTACTATTGAAATATTTCCATCTGCCACACTGCAGTATGGAACATCCAAACGGGACCAATTCACTGTTCACACCATTGTGAATATCGATGGAGAATCCCAAGATAAGTCAGTCTTAAATTTCAAAATTATACATGTCTGATTCCATACAAAATGCATCCAGGATTTCCAAACAGGATATGTTATAGGCAAGATATTTTTGTTATCTATTCAAAGTGTTAATGATTTCAAATTTACGGCACACACTTACATTTAAAAAAATAAGCTCTTTATGTTTACGAAATTCGTTACAGCTCTGTATTCTATGTGTTAATAAAATTAGGGGAACAGTAGGGGGTCATACTACGGAGTGCCACTGCATTTTTGAAAATCGATGCAGTTTCGGTTGAGTTATTAACAAAACTAATAATGAATTTCAAAACGGAGGCTTTTGTATATTTTACAACGTTTTGATATAACTTTGGGTAACATTAATTTGTTTGACGGGTAAGTATCTTACAAAATCCAAAATGCGTTCGTGGCCGCTTTCAAGTTTATAATCTCCTTCGTAGGTAATCAAAAAACATTATATAAACTCTTCAAATTTCAATTAATCTCAGAATATACAGCCGCACGTTCAACTCAAATAAAAAAGAAGTCGAAGGACCTTTTCCTTTCCTACCTCGAAAGAACGCCTACGAGTTTTAGCTTAAGGTATATGAAAATTCAAATCACAAGTTTGTATGACGACCCATCAAATAAGATAAGGAAGAAAATCACGGATATAGTATAGAGGGAAGGCGGATTCCACGTTTTCTGAATAAATCTCTACATTTTTCACTCTTTCTTATCAAGTAATATAAGGGAAAAACTTGAGGCTTATGTTTGTCTGCCAAGCGCAAGATATGAAAAAGCATATAGGGGAGCTGAAGCAAAAATAAGGGGAATAAATCAAATGTGGTGTTTTGGGAAATAATGAGGTAGTTTGACATAGTTTCTTATTTTCTCAATCATTCCCGAATTATGTACGACTCTAAAAAACCGAGTACGTTTTCTGTAGATGCACTAGTATGAAGGCTTATCAGCACAGCGGATATTTCAAATTAGCTGATTACGATTTCTTAAATTTACGTGCTATTTCAATCCATGATTAGTCGGATATGGTAAAAAGAAGAAGGAAAGTGTACATACAATGGAATGATTTAAATAGCTATAGCTTGATTATTTCATATTTATAAAAAAATGGATAATAGACTGCTAAATAACTAATTCCAATAGGAATTCATTGAAAGAACTTGAATATTTATTTCTTTTTTATTCTAACAATCATTATCTACGCATATGCCCAATTAAATAATAATAATAATAATAATAGTATTTATTCACTCAATGTACAAAGATATGGCCCAATAGAAGGCATCGCCTGTACATGGACCAATAATTTAAGATTGAAACTGTAGAATGCAAATGACAAAAAAGGACAAAAATTAGCTACAGTGGATTATAATATTCAGTTGATGTTCGTATTTATGAGTTTATGAATTTCAGTCCTAGATATAGAATGTAACCACTTTTTTAAATTTCTTTTGAAACAATTTCCGAAACCTAAATCTTTTAAGTTTTTAGGTATAATTTCATAAAATTTAGGCGCTAAATAGAGATATGATCGCTGAATTATAGATTTATGCGGTTGAGGAACTACTGTGCCACGAATTTTGTACCCGGTATAATGATTGTTTAATTTTTTGGTCGGTGTTTACAAATTTATGGTAATGAGTGATACTGTGTAAGAAATAAAGCTGTCTTATATCATACATTCGAACATCTGTGTATAATTTTTCAGTGGGATAAAGTTTCGGTTTTTTTCACCAGAAGTGGCTACGTTGAGGAATGCTTGTACGTACTTGAGTGTCTGTGCTGGAGGTCTAGAGCCGCTAGGACAATGACCATCCTCATATCCAGAGATGTTTTCTCCTTTTGCAGATTTTCCACAAGATGTGGCAACGTTACGGTCCGCCTGTACGTACTTGAGTGCCTGTCCAAGGCTGGACGCCTAGAGCCGCTCGGGCCATGGTTCTCTCCGTATCTAGACATTTTTCTCTGTTTTTCAGATTTTTGACAAGTCGTGGCAACGGGGTTTGAGCGAAGCAGTGGTTCGACGTGGCAAATGTGGAATGCTCAAGTTTGACCGGCAGCCGACGATGCTGGGTGGTGAGCGCCCTACACTGACAGCGCTGTTGATACGGCTCCTACGGTAGCGATGGCGCTGATTTCATAATACGCAGTTCGACGGCGTTTTTTTTGATGTGTTATTGGCACTGGTCGATGAGCTACTGGTCAGATCCTTATGTTCAGTATAATGCTATGCTTTAATAGAAAATAGAACATTCATTACTTAATATTACCACTATATTATTTCTATTATAGTTACATAGAGTATGCGAACACATATTGCTCTTTTTAAGTATTTTTTTTTATAACCAATACTTTTTACTTATTTTTCCTTTTTTCTACTTTGTTTCCAAGATTGTTTTTTCTCATTTTTTTTATGCATATACCCAGCCAGCACGGTGTCGTGGAATGGACGTAGATATTTGGTGATTTTGGTCGAAGTGTAAAATTCTACGTTTATTCGACGTCAGTTATGGATCATATTTCGCTTAAATTTGTCCGATATAACCACACCACCTCGATAAAATGTGAATATTACGACGTGTGTACACCTCTGTACCAATTTCCACTGCCGCGAATAAAACGCGATTTGGTTGCAGTCACTTAACCGATTAATTAACGTAAACATATTAGTGTGTTATAATTCCTCCTGTATTCTTATGATATACTAAGTGACATATAAATCCGAACACCCAGTTTAAATGGTTTTATTTTAATATAATTTTGTATAAGTACTTAATGAAGCATAATAAGTACATGATAAAAATTTCAAAATGATTGCACTGCTTTAAAGCCCTTTGACCTTTAATAATGTGTGGATGCACCCTGATGTGCTACGCATTCTCCAACGCGCCTAGGCATGCTTCTGATCAGGTGGTCAGTGTCCTCCTATGGTATCTCATTCCAGGCAACCACCAACTCCTCTCGGAGTGCTTCTAGAGTCTGAGGAGGACGTTGCAAATTGAGCAATCTCCTACCCATCATATCCCACACGTGCTCAATTGGGGATAAGTCGCGAGATCTTGCTGGCCATGGTAACAATGTGACATCATTATGTTGAAAGAAGTCTGTTGTGACTCTTGCAACATGTGGTCGGGCATTATCTTGTTGAAAAGTTGGATCTGCCAGGGTGTCAAGATAGGGTAAAAGATGGGGTTCTAGAACTTCGTGGATATAACGCTGCGCGTTCATGTTACCTCTGATGAAGATTAAAGGTGACCTGGAACCATGAGCTATAGCACCCCAAACCATAACTCCAACAGTGTGATGAACATGTCTTTCAACAAAAAACTGTGGATTCCTCCTTTCACCACGTCGCCTTCTAACCCTGGCACGACCATCGTGCATGCCTAAACAAAATCAAGACTCGTCACTAAGACAATACTGTTCCATTCCTGATCCCAGAGTGACCGTTGTCTGCACCACTCAAGGCGATTACGTCGGTGTTCTCGAGTTAAAGGGAGGACCCAGTGTGGCCGGTATGAAAACAAGCCAAAACTTCTCATTCGTCGGTAAACGCTTCGCATGCCAATAGGTCTTCCGTGTTCTGCAAACCATTCATTTGCAATGGACCTGGTAGTGGAGAAACGGTCCCTTAAGGCCAATAATCTTAGGCGGCGATCTTCACGGTCTATTGTTCTACGGCGGCGTCCAGTGCCCCTTGGTCTTTGCGTACGGCCTTCTCGAAACCATGCCTGACAACACCTAACCACAGTGTCTACACTTCTCTGCACTCTAACTGCAATTGCCCGAAAAGAAAATCCAGCTTCCCGAAGTCCCACTATACGGAACCTATCAAACTCACTAAGTTGACGAAATCGTACAGGTCTCCGTACTCTAGGCATCGTAACCGATCGTAAAGGATGTCAAGAACCAAAATCCGCCAACGTTGATTCTTTACTGCGGCTGAAATATTCATTTTTAGAGCGTTAGTGAACTAAAAGAAAGCAGTATAAAAACCGGAATGTCCAACTGATAAGGCTGAAAATTTTTTCACTTGTTGTTTACAGTAAGTTAAATACATTCACCAACTTTTATTAAAATAAAATCATTTAAACTGGGTGTTCGGATTTATATGTCACTTAGTATATTTGGCGCAGCCTAGAAGTAGTACTCTGACCGGATAACAGGTTGGTCCTACTGTGGACAATAACTGTTATTGTCTACAACCACTTTTCCAGACAGAATATCGCTTATAGCCTTCACCAAACATACTGAACCCATTTTAACCGAAATGTTACTTACCACCTTCATCCACTCAACGCTTCAAAAGTTATTGTATTAAAGAAGGCCACAGTGGTGGAAGAAATGCTCACAATATACAGTATTTAAACATATATGTGGTTCGAATTGTCAGGGCAGGCAAAATGAAGGATTAATACTATAGTAATTTTATTTGAAATAACTACTTGAATAATCATAACAACTTCCCATTAATTCCCATTAATTAAAATATAGTTTATTCAACTGCCTCTGGTCGGTTTAACAATTTCTTACATAACATTCTGAAAATCACATCATCTGAAGTGATTTGGCAACGTTTTGGCACACGCCCACAATTCGTTCCATCTTTCAACACAGACATTGACAACCTTCGGCCTTCTGTCAAAGGTTCATCTTACTCATTATTCCATGACCACCAATTTGTGCAATCATCAAGTGGCTTCACGACGTAATGCTCTAATGTTTTCTAAATAATTTTTAATCTGTCTTTAACTTGTCTTGTCATATTTTATATAATTTTAACCATTGTACCATGTATCCAGCTCTCACCATGTTACTGGACATTTCCCTCATCCTATACGAAAACAACAATTAGCAACATCCTCACATACTACTGTAAGTTGATTCAATTTAAATTCATTTTACACTTTTGTTGCTACTGTTATCATTGTAATTGCAGCTCCTGATGATGATGGCAAAGTCCATTGAAAGCCAGAGAGAATTAAAAAAAGTATAAAGAGTCCTCTTTGCTCAAATTTTGTCGAAGTACCCAACAAAAGGCGGAAGCTTTAATTTTTCACCTATATATATATATGTATATATAAGTTATGTACCAGTCTATAGAGAAGAATATGCTGAACAAGGACTTTTGCCTGCACGTTCCTTTCTTATCAGTTTCAGTATTGTATTTCATTTGTTCTTTACTTTGGTTTGTATAATGAACTTTGCAGTCAGTCTCGATTCAGAACTCATTCAATTAACATCATTGTATTTGGTTATTCTCAAAAATAAATCTTTCTTAAAAACGTTTTCGTTGAAGAAAGATATTTGAGTGGCGCAGCAAGCAGTAGGATAGACGAAAAAAGGACATTTTCGGTTCGTTTCAACGGTTTACTGGCTATAACGAAACCAACCGCGATTGGTCGCGAACGATCCGACGGAATATCGATACCGTTACCGTGATCACCGGAACCATATTTGGGGTAGAACCCTACCCAAATCGAGAAACCAAGAAGACAGCAGCCCAGAGGACAGAAGGAACATCTGCTCCAGGACAGGCAACCCAGCAGTGGCCCAGGCATACGGACACATGGGACGGGTTGGATTATTACTGTAAGTACAAATATCTTACAGGGGTGAAAACAACCAAGAGCTGTTTGATGATACATTGAGTGACACTGATTCGGACTCACAGTTGGATACGGAACATATCCAACATAGTTTAAGGAATTTGCAATTAAGACCTAGTATACTAAACAGTACAGTCAATATGAACAACAGTCAAGTAAATCAATCAAGCATGTCATTACGCCCAGAGTATCTTAACATGATACCCGAATTTTATGGTCAACAAGAATTATTAGCAAGATTCATAGATATTTGCGAAAAGTTAGTGAACAAATTTTATAGATTAGAGGATGAAAATGACTTCCAGAACGAATATCTTATGAGTAGTATTTTAGCGAAAATCAAAGGTAGTGCAGCTTTAAATATTAGTAGCAATATTATAGAAAATTGGACAGACTTGAAAACTGCACTTTTAAATACATATTAAGACAAGCGTGACGTATTTACTCTAAATATAGAAAAGTGAATTGATACAGAACAATGAAACCCCATTTGAATTTTATAACAAAGTTCAGAGTTTACTGAATTTACAAATATCATTTTTAACTACACATTGTGTGAGTGAAGAAGCTCAGGTAGTATGTAATTTTTGCAAAAGCGTAGCATTAAGAGTATTTCTAAAAGGTTTAAAGGAACCTCTAGGATCGCTCATGAGGACGAAAAATCCTACAGACTTGAATGAAGCTCTGAATATATTAACTAACGACTTCCAGCTTGATTATAAGGTAGATAAACATAAAAATGTTAATCGAAATAATATACAATTAGTTCGCCATATGAACAACAACATTGGTAATTATAGGAATCAATACCAAGCGGTACAGCGTCCAGTATTACAAAGACAAATTAGTCCTAATAATGTACGACCAAATAATCCTAATCAGAATAGAACAAATTTTCACAGTAATAACGTTTTTAGACCTAATCAGATCAATAATCTGCCAAGGCCTACTCCGATGAGTACACCCACTAGACAGACGTATCAGCAACCAAATTTTCAAGGTAGAAATTTTAACAGACCTGGTGTAAACGCAGAACAGGCTATGTTTAACTTGTGTGTACAAGGCCAACCTGTTGTAGAATTTCCAAATGATGACAATTATGAATGCGCTTATTATCAGAATAATTCTGACGATTTTTTAGGGCAAGAAGCCTCAGTACAGATACAACCACAAGTTTCAACGGACCACCAAAGTCAATTGAAATTATGAGTTTAACAGACAAATGTAGCAAACTACCATACATTGTATTTCCGGAGTATAATCTCAAAGTATTGATTGACACTGGAAGTACAAAATCTTTCATACACCCTGAAATTGCGAAAAAATTATTTTCAAGACATATTCAAAAAGACCCATTTCAAATTACTTCAGCACATGGTTCATCTATCGAACAATATAGTATGACAATACCTTGTCCAAAGATTTTTAAGAATCCAAATATTCTCATGAAATTTCATTTATTCAAGTTTCACGAACATTTCCAATGCCTTTTAGGACTCGATAACCTGAAAGAGATATTGAATGCCAACATTGATTTGAGCAATGATCTTTTAGTCACAC